AGAGCTGGTACAAAAACCTGTGTGTTTGTTTTTATTAGTGCTTTTACAGACACCATCATTAAACAGTCAAGAAAAAAGGGGTATGAAACAAAAGAACTACAAGCTTGTGACAATTTATGGATATAAAATTATTCTTGGAAGTTACCACAGAAATTATGCATAAGCCTACTTCTTCTTGGAAGCATTTTATATCACTGAATTCCAATTTGACTAATGCTTTAATTAAAACTTGTACAGTAATATTCACTTAGAATAGTCTAAAAAACCAGCAATCCTATCCAGACATTGAAGACTTCTTCCAATACAGCGTGATTTGGTACTCCGTGGAGGTTGAGCAATCTGTAATTAAGCGAAATGAGACTTGTATAGGAATACCAAGAACATTAAGACTATCTTACAGCATGGGAATTATTTGCCAGAGAACATTATCCTTTTACTGCTTTTTTTATCATTAAGATGTAAAATTTAATTAAAACAAAGTGACAGACTTAGCTTGTATTACATCCACTTGTTAGCTGTATAGCTCACCTTTGGACCATTCATTAGGATGCAACTAAATTTAGTCATTAGTATACAACTTTTTTTTTTTTTACTTTTTCTTTTTTTTTTTTTTTTAATCACTGCTCTGCTTAATTTCCTCCAGTCCCCAGCTGAAGTTTTAAAGACAGCAAGGTCAGCAAGTCATACGGTAGCACTTTGAAGCAGGCAGTAGCTCTGAAAAAGAAAGGAAACCAGTGCTGATCTGGATCCAATGCAGGAAGAAGGAATGCTCTCTTATGAATATTTCACAGAAACAGTGACACAGCTTCAGCTTTGAAAAACATTCTCCAAATTCTCATGTTTTCCTGTGAATCTCCTTCCAATAATATCAATTGAAGATTTCAAAAAATGTGTTCTCTCTCCAATATGAAAGACCTGTAGCTAAGAGTTGCTTCACTGGTATTCTTGGGAACCTTCCCACTGCTTGCCTGGTTATCCCATTATTTTTCCCCAGTTAACCTGTATCCCACTAGCATAAGATAAAACATACCCTTCACTGTATATTTTACACTTCCCATTCCACCTCCTCCTCAAGTGTATGACTCCTAAAAAATAGCTAGAAATTTCTGCCTCTCGTTCTTCCTGTGAAAAAGGTGAGTTTAAGCTGTAGAAGAAGCTGGGAGCAAGCACTAAGGCTCCAACTTTCGAGACGCAGAAACATGCCTGTTCCAAGCAGAGACAGAGCTTGGATTCTGTTGAAACTCCAGAAGCTTAAAACAGATGACTATCTATCTGCCTGTTTGTGACAGCACTATGAGACACAGACAATTTGCAGTTATCACTTACTACAGCCCTCAAAGTATGGGGAAGAGAGAGATCCAGCCCTGCTGCCGGTAGAATAACAAATCACATCATGACAGTCCTATGAACGGTAGGGCTATTTTAACAAAATCCAAAAATACAGATTTTTTGTCAAGTCCTCAATTATGCAAAAGGAAGTCGAACATGTACCGTTCTCTGTGTCATTACAGACCTTCCTATGTAATTCCAGTCCCTAACCCCAACACAAAAGAAACAGTAAGGTGGCTAAAATAGCAGCATGCTATTTTATGTAAATTTAAAATATTTTAAACAGCATGTTTCCACTCCCATGCTAATAATTATTATATTAAAGTACCTTCATCTACAAGAGACAGAAAAAAAATCACAAAGAAACGCAGCAGTTCTTGCTTCCCTTACCTCCTACCAGGCAGTGGTTTTGAAGTAAGAAACTTTGAGGAAAAGAAAAAAAGAAGTTTTAGAAATGCATTTTTTTCTGGTTTCTGGAATCTCTGAAGCATCACTCCCTTGTAACCAATATCTGATCTCCAAAGACCAATCATTGTAGCATCAAAGCTTCTGATCACTTGCTTTTACAGAGAAAAGCAGAGAGAAGCTTTAAAACTTACTTATAGGTGAAATCCAAATTAGCACTATATGCAATGCTTAAGTCAGGGAAAATCTGCCTTCAGATAACACTCTAACCCTGAGAAGATAGGAGGGGAGAAAGGAAAAAAGTGTATTGAAAAACAAGAGACAAATCTTGTCAAAAGAAAGGTTCCTAGGAACAGATAATCACAACGTTGCTTCAAGTACATTACGCTTCCGGAGTAAGAAGCAGAGTCATCAGTGGTCTCATCTGAAGCACATAAATTCCCAACATTTTATTTTCTGGACAGTTAAGCTTAAAAATACAGAAAATATAAATTTGCTCTGTGGCTTACAGAAGTGGAGAATTAAGAGTGCTTCACTAACAAACATGACAAGTGAAAAGTGACCTAATCTGATTTTAGATGTAGACTTGTAACACAGAACTAAGAAATGTATTTTAGTTTTCTTCAGTGTTTCTATTTTATACTGAACAGATCCAAGCTAATTAAAATGTATGACTGGCTGTACCAACCAAAATGCATCTATACTCCAGCACCGTATGCCAAGTTTCTGTAACTGATGAATCTTCCAAGAAAAATGCAAGAACCCTCCTCCTGCATTTGGTTCCTCAGTTACATATGCCCACCACCCCTCAGTCAGCGGGAATCCTTTTATTTTCTTGCATGATGAGCCTAGGAACCAGAAGAATGCCACAGCAGTGGTGAGTCACTATGCAAGAGTTGAAGAACAAGTCTAGAGAGATGCTCCCCTTCCTGTTTCTAAAAGTTGCACGTTAGATCTTCTGGGACAGACACTGTCTTTGTATTTATTAGCCTCCCACTCACTCAGTCAAGACTTTCTAATAACATTTTGCCTTTCTAATACTTTTCATATCTATATACGCTTTTGGCATCCAAAGTATCCCAGTTTTCATTCATCTCCTTTTATTTTGAACCTGTTTTCAGCTCATTTTCTTTGAGGCTCCCCCATACCAATATTAACAGTTAGCAAATGCTTCCTATTCAGCCACTCCAGAGCACTTACTAACACTATACTTCCCTGATTTGCCCTTTCCCTTCCCATCATCAGAAAAGACTCCAGTGTAGTCAAGTTTTGTCACACAGAGTTCATTCTGTACAGAAGAATAACAAAAGTGATGAAAAGTACTTTCCCCCCTCCAATGTTTCCATTTCAGAAATGGAAGAGGACTGCTAAAAGTATTCAAGATAAGTACTTGACAGAGTAAGAGCAGTTTACTCTACTCCTTTCCCAGTAATTCCTAAAATTCTATTTGCTTTTAGAGCAGTAAGTATTTTCCCTTTTGTTCTCTGCTCCTTTCCCAGTAATTCCTAAAATTCTATTTGCTTTTTTTGGACCACTACTAATTGCTGGACATTTTCACTGTTATAACACCAAGATTCTTCTCTTGACATACTAATTAATTCAGAGCTTATCAAAATATGTAGATACTACTACTGCAGGAGCTCAACATGGAGAGGCAGTATGAAAAATTCTGAACATAAATTATTACTAAGTGCAACAGTTTTTACCTAAGGAGGAAAAATGATCCAAAATTCACTTACACAAAGATCGGCTTCAACTCAATTACTGCCACTCTGGAATGAGGTTTTGGTATTAAAATAGACACCTCTACAGAATTATTTATCAGGAGCAGGCAAAAGGAGAAAATAAATCCAGTATTAAAAAAAATTAGTAAACAAATAGAGAGAAATATTAGTAAACAAATAGAGAGTAGAAGTACAAGAATCAATTTTCCATTACACAAGCCTCTGATAGCATATATACTAAACAACGGTTCTACTACCTCGTCACAATACATTGTAGATGTTAAACATTTAAATGGGTTCAAGAAGTGACCAGAAAACTTATTGAGGAATAATTAATTGATGGCAACTGAGTATCAAAAGTTACCATCTCTACCTAGCACAGGAAGTCCCTGAACTGCAAATCAACAGCAACTGTAAGAGTATTCTGACCAAGTAGAGTTGCACCTTTCTGAGTAGTACTGGGCCACAGCTATATAAAAACCATATTTAATTGTCATGCATAAGAACTGAAAGAGTACCGAAACACTGAAGTTATTTATTCTCCTTCAAAAAGGGTTTTAATTATACCATAATTGCTTCCTGACAAGTCCACATCACTCAAAAATAAGAAAAAAAAGTTGGTTTTATTTTACTTCACACGCTTCAATGAATGCCAGTTTCCTCAAAATACCATCCATCTTCTCAAAGTCCAACTTCCAAAGATACTCAGGATCATGACTTTGACTGCAGTTAACGTAAGATTGATATTCTCAACATCTTGGGGCAGGGAGGAATCCTTTCTGCTTGCAGTTATATGCATTTTTTTTAATATAGCAAACAATTATTCATGAGGAAAGCAATCTTTTTCATTCTTGTAAAGATATCAACAGAAGTGCTTAAAAGACTGAAGATAAGAGCAGGACTTGTTTTTTTTTTTTTTTTTTTCCCCCCCTCTCCAAGGGAGCAAGCGCTATTTTTTTATCTCTAGGGACACCCTCAACCCATCATTCTACTGTTTTTAAAGTCCAAATGGTTTTTTACCTGTCCAAAATATTTATCTGTCTGAGGACAAAAATTCTGACATCACTTCCAAAGACAAATAAATAATATAAATCTTCATATGATGACCTCTTTCAGATTTGGTAAAGAAGTTGAAGACTGACCACTGCTATCATCTACCTGAAGCTTCTATAATAAGAGCCATTAAATTTTATAAAATGAAATAAAACTAATATCAATTAACACTTTTAAATACTAATCAGGACATCACACAGGTATTTATTAATAAACTGTTGATCCAGCCACTCAATTAACCATGTATTGACTGCATCCAAAATGCACTTCATGAATTTCTCATAAATAGGACAAGGTTTATTTATTAAGATTGCCCAATTGACTTAAGTCTGCTTCCAGTTAGCGAGGAATGACAACTTGCTGCTTTTATTCATAAACCTCTAAACATCAACCCACTACCTACAGCAGCCAGCCTATCATCCAGATCATGCTGTTCTTCACCTACACCACTTAAAAAGCAATAGTTACTTCTCCCTCTTAATTATTTACCTTAGAATTACCTTCCTTGTGATGTTTGGCACAGGATCGAAGCTGAGTTATCCAGTATTGTTTCTCCTTTGCATCAGCAGCTAGAACAGAAACAAGAAAACACAGGGAATCACACATAAACCAATATTCTTTTTTTGCGTAAGAGAAGGTGACGGGGCGGGAGGGGGGGAGGATTATTTATTCGTTAGGACACATCATAAATTCTAATTTACGCTACTTAAATTAAGTATGTGTAACTTCTTCAGTACAACACATCTAAACCTCAACTTAAGATGCTGTGGCCAGTTGAAAGAGATAAGCTTATGAGTCTTCTTCATGGTTATCTCCTCCAAGTGTTATTAAAAGCAGAATTACCTCAAGATGACTTTTTAAAAAAAAAATTAATCCACTTTTGTTTTACTTGTCTCTCTTTGTGAAGGACAAGGGCCACACCATAGCATTTAAATCAGTCAAACCTCTACACTCAGGCTGTCAGTCAGCTACCAGACAAGCTACCAGTTCCCCAGATACTTAAGTACTTCTGTTTTAATGTAGTTCAGCTAAATCTCTCTTTAAACCTGCATTCGCATGCAACTTAAAAGACACAAGAATGAAAACCACAATTTCCCCCATACATCTTTAAAAAACAGCTTTAAAAATTATTGAAAAGATTGTCTGCAGTCTATATCAGGTGGCTCCTTCAGGAGAGAGGTTTGGTTTGGGGGTTTTTTGGTTTTTGTTTCGGTTTTGTTTTTGTTTTTTTTTTAAACAAACCACTACTACAGTAATCCTAATTAAGAATACCAATACAAAGTGGATAATTTCAATAAATGTTTTCTCTTATTTCCTCTGCTATTAAGTATCTCAATGGTTATTGACTCAGCATAAAAATTATTTACTGATTTGAATCAAATTCACATATCTCATTAAATTAAAAGCAGCATATTGTAAGTATTTGATAATCTCAAGTGATTGGCAAAGCATGATAATGAAACCACAAGTGTTCATGATTTCTAGCTGTGCATACTCCAAAACATTTTGATCACAAGAACAACCAGGGAGAGTTTCTGTTCAGTTCTACATTTAAAACAGCAACACACTGTACCATGCGGCAGTCCTGCATACTCTGTCCTGCTAGCCAACTGATAAACTGTGGTCAGAATAAATCTAACATAATCTTAAACTTTTGTTACACTTTATTATGTCACTTTTTTTTATATCAGTTTATTTTCTGATAAACTAGTTTGATGATCAACCATACTGAAAAAACTCTGTCCTGCTAGCCAACTGATAAACTGTGGTCAGAATAAATCTAACATAATCTTAAACTTTTGTTACACTTTATTATGTCACTTTTTTTTATATCAGTTTATTTTCTGATAAACTAGTTTGATGATCAACCATACTGAAAATACCTTAGAATCAGAATACTGCTTCTTTTTTTTTTT